TACATTTCTGTCTTGACTCTCTTACCAATGAGCTCAAGGTGACTTACACGGCTTTCAGTTTTTCATCAAAACAACTCTTGTTACATAAACCAGACTAAGAGAATGTGATGCTCCAAGGTCACTCAGTGAGCTTCATGAATGTGTGATGATTTGAACCCAGTTCTCCTGAGTATTAATCTGATACTGGGTATTTCAAGGAGAAAGGTGAGGTAAAAAAATATTTGAAATAAATAAATAAATAAACCAACCAACCAACCAACCAACCAACCAACCAACTAACTAGCAATTGGCTCAGTATAAGGCAGATTCCTGTCTATCTGCCTGTGTATTAGCCGTCAAGTTGAAACTGACTTATAACTACTCTAGGAGGGTTTTCAAGAAATGAGTTACTTTAAGAGTTGTTTTATTAGTTTCACCCCTACCACGAGGCTCCATGACTGAGTGGAGATTTTAACCTATATATCCTGAATCCTATCTGTCCCACTATCTACTACGTTGGGTATTGGAGATGAGCCATTTGGCTTTTTGAATTCCAATTCCCTGAAACCTCTGCATATTCGCCAGGCAGAATTCTGGAAGTTTCAATCCAACAACCCATACTTGCAGTCTCCTTCAGACATACCTACACTTTACTCATCTGAAAAAGGGCCTAGCTCAAGTCTTAAGAAAGGAAGGTGCCCCAGTATTTCTTAGAAGTATTAGGATTTCCTGGGAGGTATAATCTCACTGGTTTTCAGTCTCTCATACCTTGCATATTGTGCATATAAAGAAATTAAAAGAAAAAAGAAAAGAAAGGGGATTACTGGCCAGTTCACAATGAAGGAACCATCAATTTAAATTTCAAGCTTCCGATTTTAGGAGAGAAATGAGTGGCTGCAGCCACAGGCTGCTAAAGGATGGATACGTGGCATATCTTCCTCAGCCTGATGCTGGTCCCACCACAGGGTGAAGCTGAAAGCTCATTTCGGATTGCAGCTACAGTCCAGGCAGGAACTCAGGGTGCGAGGAGGGAATATGCTGCATCTGTGGTGCCGCACTGACAAATTGCCATGAACCAGGGCGAATGGATTCTTGCCCATCTCTAAGGAGAAGCCTTGAACACAAGTAACCATGGCACAGTCCTTGTAGACAGAGCACAAAACCAATTATGAACCAATTTCTAGAGAAGCTAGTGCCAAGATGGGTGATCCAAAATGGATTTTGGTATATGCCACAAAACCAGTGGATCAGGATACAGTATTATGATCCAAAATGGATTTTGGTATATACAAAACCAGTGGATCAGGATACAGTATTAAGACATACGTATCTCATATATTGGGGCTTCCTCATTTCTCCATCCTGTCTGTTATCACCTGAAGAGGAGGTGTTGTAATGGGGAGGGATAGAAAGTATTATACTAGAAGAAGTGTGTCATCACAAAGGTGTTCTGGATAAATTCCTTGTAGGTCTTTATAAAGCCACGTAGAATCTCTACATAAATCTGTCCTTGGACCAACTGGTGGAAATCAAATCAAACTCTCCTCCTGGGAATATGTATCTTCAGCGAAAGTTTGAAATTGTTGCCTCGTGCCTCTTCTGTTTCTTGACTCAGCAAGTCACAATCTCATGCCCAAATTCAACATCCTTGAATCCCACCAGGAACAACATCATAGCTTGTCCATGTGACATTTCTTCGAGATACAATAAATGTGAAGCCAAGGGTGAGAGAAAAGAGTATCTTGCTGGAGTGCCGTCCCTTCCACAGACTATGGAAAGGGAAATACAGTGGTGCCTCGCATAGCGATCGCTTTTGTGATCGCTTAGCAATGGTCCCTATGGGGAAAATTCGCTTTGCGATGATCGCAGGGAAGCAATCATCGCAAAGCCCCCATTTGCAGCCAGCTGATCGGCGGTTCCAAAATGGCCGCCCGCTGTGTTGCCTCGCTTTAGAGGCACCGAAAATGGCTGCCCCTATGGAGGATTTTCGCTTAAGGTTAGTTTTTAAGCTCATAGGAATGCATTAATGGCGTTTTAATGCTTTTCTATGGGCTTTTTAATATCGCTTAGCGATGAAATCACTTAGCAGCTATTTTTGCTGCATGGATTAACATCGCTAAGTGAGGCACCACTGTACAGACTTCGCCCACTCCAGATCCCCGCATAAGAGAACAACGGGGTATTGACACCCGGGATTTGGCGAGGGAATTGTGTGGATTAATGGTAGCCGTTCAAACCACTGAAGATTTGGCAGGAATGGGAGAACAAAAAGGGTGGAGACTGAGGCAGGAACAGCAGAGATAAAAGGGAGGGGAAGTCAATGGGGAATGGCCAGGCTGGGATTGGGTCTAGCTGCAAGACCCATGGGCAGGAGAGTGGGAACGACTGTGAGTACCCAAGGAGGAGGCTGACTATCGCCAAAGGAGGGAGATGGCCTCCTAGACTGTCATATCGGGGAGAGGGCAAGGCCTGGGAGTGGCAGAGGAGATTGAGGGAAGAAAAGGAGAAAGTAGAGATGGAAAAAAGAGGAAGGCTAGCATGGAGGGTCCAGGAGATGAGGATGAGGGGTTACCAGGAGGACCCTGGTCGACCCCCACACACACACACAAGATGCCAGGTGGACCGATCCCACAGAGGACAAGGCCATTCCCCTGTTCGAAGGAGAGATCGGAGGTGATTTGAAAGAAGAAGTGATTGGCTGGTCGGGTCCCTGGAATAACAACGAAACCAACCCCTTCCTCAGTGATGCCTGGGCACCCCGTCAGACCTGTTGGTGAAAGAAGAAAAGTTGTAGACTAATTTTATGGACCCTGATTTTTTTATTTATTTTTTTATTTATTTTGGTTAAGCGCACCATTAAACCTTTCACCTGTTTCAAAGTTAAAAAGGCCTCCTGATTTTGTTGTGGAGACGAAAGCCTCAAAGTCTGAACCCTCACAATAAAAGAATGCAGAAAGCTGATTTCACTTTAGCAGATATTGTTGATCTTCAGACTGAAACAATAGACTTAGGACAGCAGAACAAAAAGAGAACCTGTCCAGTTTTTGCATCTCTGCCCTGTATCTATACAGTATCAGCAAAAACTGTGTTAAAACTCCACAGAACTAATATCTCTAGTAATTGACTTGGGGTTACTCAGTGCCATGGACTATGAGTGTGAAAAGGCAAAAGAAGGACCAATCTGTATTTGAGGATAGGAAGGAGGTGGGAAAAGGAAATTAACAAAAACATTAAGAGTTTGAAAAATCCCATCAGCTCTAAACAAAGTTGTTCTCACTATTCTAACTGGCTACAACAGGATTATTTAGTAAGTATGTATAATGTTAGGTAGGAGCATGGGCAAGAAGCCATATAACCTAGAAGTTGAAAATATTATTTTTTGGACAATTCCATGAATCCCCAGATTATGGCTATGCTGCAGTGAATTCTGGGTGCTGTAGTATAAAACAACATTTCAAAGCTCTGACCCCATTTATTTTATTTAAACTATTTTAACCCACCTTGATTCTGAGTGCTGTAGTATAAAATAACATTTCAAAGCTCTGACCCATTTATTTTATTTAAACTATTTTAAGCCACCTTTCTCCTTAAATAGCACTTAAGATGGCTTACAATAAGTTTTGAAAAGCATTATTTAAGCTACTAACAGGGAGTGTACAATATTGAAAGGATCAATGAATACAAAACCAAAATAACAACAATAACAACAACAACAACAACAACAGAAGAACACCAAAATACACTTAGTGCAGTAAGGTACAACAATTGATTTTAAAAAGCCCTCACAGGCAGCCAGTCACTGAGGGAAGGCTTGCCTGAAGAGAAAGATCTTCGCCTGCTTGTGGAAGGACAGTAAAAATAGGGTTGGTCTAGTCTCCTGTGGCAAGGAGTTCCAAATTCTGGGAGCAGCAATAGAGAAGGCTCTGTCCCACAAAAAGGTATCTCCTGGTGATTTTAATACCCGTACGCACCAAAAACTCCTGTGAGGGTGGCGGGACCAAGAAAAAGGTATCTCCTGGTGATTTTAATACCCAGGCAGGTTCATAAAGGGAGATTCATTCTTGAGATAGTTATTCCTTGAACAAACACAGCACGGCAGTAAAGAAACATGCAATATATGAGAATTAGTCTACCAAGAAATGACAAGTATGTTTAAGAACATTTTCGACTGGGGAATACATAGTCTCTCTTTCACCATGTTCAGAAACCCCACTTAATAATATTCACCCAGGTTACTGGACTGGAGAATATTAATAAAGAAAATGGATGCTGGCACTAAACTCTGTTTTATGTCAATTCACAGAAATCTTCAGAAGTCTCACCTTAGCTTAGCCTGCACAGAAATAAAACAGGGTAGCTGAAAGGCCGTTTTAAATGATGCTACGTAGCAGGATAATGAAAAGGTGACATCACTAATTTTTTAAATGGGGTGTTGGGGCTGAAAGTACAATTCTCACGCTTCTCCTGCGTTGAATGTATTCCCTACAAGCAGAAAACGAGCGGAAGGGGCAAAAGGCTGAGGCACCTCCTTTTTTGCACGGAACTATACTGCTACTGTATTGATGTTTCTACAGAATTAACGATACTTCTCTAAAACCTCCAACCATTATAGGTTTTAAAAAATCAAAATAAAATAGACAAACACGTGGTAGCTCCTTAAAGACTAGTTTTATTTTTTCTTTCACTTTTATTTCGTTTTAGAATGCTTCCTCAGGGGAACAGCTCCTGCTCCTTCTACCACAACCGCAAACTCTACGAATACTGTACGCTAGAACGACCCGCCACCCCACTCCGAGGGCCGTCCGCGCCTGCGCAGAGCCCCCTCATGATGTCGCATTCATGCCTTCTTTCTTGGGCCCCTCGCTCCGTGCTACAGCCGTTGAAAACGCCTTCATGATGTCCCATTCATGATGTCCCATTCATGATGTCCCTTTCTTGGGCCCCTCGCTCCGTGCTACAGCCGTTGAAAGACTCCGCCCCCGCGCGTCTTGCCCAGCCAATCACATCCAGAGCAAAGAAACAAAAGCCGTTTGAAAGTGTCTTTAAAGGGCGCCGCCTTTGAAGGTTCTCGCATCACGGTCAGGGAGGCGGTTCTGTCCCTTTTCTCCCTAAACGGGTCTTGAAATGAAAAGGGGATTTCACGAACCTTGAGGGTAGAGGTTACTCTCAAGGGAATATTCCCTGTTTTGCCCTCTTTCTATTTTAAACGCGAAGTTGATAACGGGGGTTGGAATAATTGAATTAAGGGCTGCTTTTTTGGATTCATTAATATATTTCATTTAAGTCACAACTGGAGATCTGTTGTTCCAGAAAAAGTAATGACACCGTTTCTCATGTTGGAGCTGTAATACTTTTTTCTCCCCACCCCACATTATTGTTTTGGTTTATTCTGAAAGCAGGAGGAATTTTACAAACTTTCTGCTACTCTAATAGCTGCAGTGTATAGGAAACTTAATCACAACCAGACCACAACCCCTTAGGTCCTATAAAATAAAAATTAGTTGAACTTCTAAACAGAGAGAGTACTGGCTCCTATCTATGAATATTTACAGTCAGAAGATCCAGGTAGGCTTCCGTTTGCATTACAAACTAAGGACTAGTAACATAAACTCATTCCTATCTCTAAATGAGGCAGATTAAAAGGAGGCCTAATTAGTAGTTAATACGGTGTGATTGGCAGATTTTAAAGATTCCTGACAGCACCTGGCAGCACACCCAGGTAGTAATTAAACATGGTTCATTTAACGTGACTGAAAGATGTACTGTATTCCTGTGCAGTTTAAGGGAATTGTGGCATCATGGGGAGACCTTTTGAGGCAAGAACTTTAGAGTACACTCCTATATGTTAAAAGTAAATCCTGTTATGTTCAGTACAATATACTCCATGCAAGTTTTCGGAGAATTGCAGGTTTTATCGGTGCTTACTTGGGAATAAGCTTCATAGACATAAACTTTTAGGCAGACATGAATAGGATTGTATTCTAAAGATCACAGTTAATGGAACTATCTTTCATCCTCAAATAATAATAAAAATCCTCTTGGTGTTGTTATGTGCTGTTAAGGCACACCAACTTGAAGAGATGCGACGTAAGAATTATTTACCTGTGAAAACTCATGCTGTAATGAAGCCTGTTCAGATCTTTTGAATTTAAAGTCATGGTTTCCTTTACCGAATCACTCCATCTCATGTTTGGTCTTTCTCTTCTACTGCCTTAAAAGTCTGACAGCATTATTGTTTTTTCCAGTGAATCTTTGTCTCCTCAGGATAGACTCAAAGGATTACAACTTTTTTGCCATTTTAGCTTCTAGAATTCAGGCTTGTCTCAATATAGAACATGATTTTCTTGCCCTTCTAGTGTTTCATGGCATCTGTAAAGGTCTTGTTGGCATCTTCTTGTTTTTCTTACACCCTCTTGGTGTAAGATGCTCCAGAGAAGGAAAAGCAAGTGGTGGGGAATTTGAGTATCTACACATAAGGGTTGTCTAACATTATCCACCACCACCATCCAAGTATTTGTATAAACTGATACTCTTGTATTTTGAGCACATCATGAGAAGGCAAGGCATACTGATAAATTCAATAATGCTTGGAAAAGTTGAAGGCAATAGCAACAGAGGAAGACTAAATGTAAGATGGATTGACTCAATAAAAGAAGCCACAGGCTTGAGTTTGCAAAAAAAGGGGGGGCTGTTAATAACAACACTTTGTGGAAGTCATTAATTTGCAGGGTTAACAAAAATCAGAAGGGACTTGACAGTATGTAACAATAACAAGACAAAGATCCTTAGCTCTGCAAATATGAACAATATTCCTTTTATTTCTGAAGATTGTACTGGGCTGCTCCAGGATTTGTAAAGGTTATAATGGTCTGCTAATAGACTTGCAAGTAAACAAAGAGAATCATTTTGATGTTGTATAATATTTCAGTACAGTATCAGTAAAACTAATTAGCTAAGATTTATTTAACTGAGTGACAATAGAGATGGTTCATCATCATGCTAAGATTATTATTATATTGTTTTCATTTCTCTCTACCTTTTTTTCTTCTCCCCCCCCTTTTTTTTAAACAATTCCTTTCTAGTGAGATGCCAAAAGTCCCAGGACTCCCACCAAGCTGCCCTGTAACCCTGGGCTATGTAACTGAACCTGAATCTCTGGAGGGGCAGTTACTCACACATGCTATAGAGGGAAACAATAAAAAAGCCAAGATACTACTGAAAAGAGGTAAGGCCAGAGTACTTTCAACTCATTATGGACAGCTTCTATCCTGTAGGGTCCACTGCAGTGCAGATGCCTTTCTTAACACAATTACTGTAGTTGATTCCACTGAGCTAGTTGTGTTACAATACATGGACCAAGTCAGTGCAAAATGTAGACTTGTATCATTCTGTATATTGTGCTCTGACAGGGGAAGAAAGTTGGGTCTTGGTTGAAAAGGAGACATTGCTGGAAGCGACATTGCAGACATTTAGTTTTCTCTCAAATGCTTCCAACAAACGTTTTGCCATGGATCATATGGGTGGTTTCTTTTTTCAGGTGTGTACGTGGATTGTCACAATACAGCCGGACAGGCAAGTTTGTACCTTGCTGCTCTGTTGGGACGTACCTCTACCGTCCAGCTATTTCTGTGCTTTGGTGCCAATCCAAATCAGTAAGTTATATAGAATTCCTAGAGATGGTTGCTGTGGCTGTGTGCGCTCATGTTATGTGCTGTCAAAGTCAGAACTAACTTATAGTGACTCTGCTAGGGCTTTCAATGTAGGTGGGGGCTTGTCTACACCCTTTTGGGGCGGGCTGGTGCAGGCTAAATAGGGTTTCTTGGGGTCGGTTAGAGGTGCAGCGTGCCATTTGCTGTGACCCCCACATCCAAATGGCATATTGAAGCTCAAGCAACTCTTCAGGCCTGTCTACATGTCTCAAAAAACCCACAATAGGTAGCCTTTTAATTTTAGCCAACTCAAGTCATGTGGTTTTTGAGTTGTGTCCTGTGTTCCTACTGAGTAATTGAAATGTGTTTTTTCTTGTCTTCTCTTAATGTACACATAGTTTTGGCTTATGGTCTTAAATTGGGTACGCAGGGAGAGGCTCCCTTTTAAAAGCGGCTGCAAGGTTCAAAATGGGCTTAAGTGAGTTAAGAAAACAGCATGATAAAAATTAAGTGACCCTCTACAAGAGTTTTAAAACATGTTTCATTTCTCTTGCCCCTCAAATGAGAAGCAGTGGCTCACTGAAGTGGCTATCCTGAAGTGGCTCTCTTATAAAGGTGGTTCATGATATTTGAAATTCCAACGGGAAGGAGCATAGACACCTGGGAGGCTCAGGTTTTTGTCCATTTCCAGTGATCACATGCATAGGAAGTGGACTCAACCAGAGCAATCCTACCTGTGTTTTAAAAAAAAAGAGGCCCCTGACAGACTCAGAAAGGTGTGGATGGAATTGTTGTAGGGGGTGGGCTATCGAGCAAAAACATTGTGTGATCACAGCCTTTAGGGATGAATCAGCCCATCCCTGCAGTGGTTGAAACAAGTGGGCTAAATGCCTATGTCGTCAGCCTCTGAGATTTTTAAGGAGTGGTTTTACTAAAAAGTAACAAGTGCACCAGCATGTTTCCAAAAGTGATGTATCATGTAATTATCCCAAAGTTATAGTAGGTCATTTCATAGCAGTTAAGGGTTAAAAAAAAGGCCTTAAATCATATTATTGTCTAAGCAAAAAGTGTCTGTCAAATATTTTTTAATATTTATTTATATATTTATTCTCGTATTTTGTGTTGTAAGCCGCCTAGAGTGGTCGCAATGACCAGATAGGCGGGATATAAATAGAATAAATACATAAAATAAAAATATTTGGAAATGACTTCATTTGAAGAGGAAATATCACATTATTCATGGAAGATAACGAGCCCAAACTATTGTTATGCAGATCTTTGGTGGATCAACAGGGACCTTTGCGCACTGAGCCCCTCAGCAAACACAACACTGGTTGCTCCCCCGAAACAGAGCTGTCTGGACCCATGTTGTTCTCTGCAGTCTGCTTCCTAACACCTCTTCTTTCTTCCGTTCTACTCTCAAAGCCGCTGTAACGATGGCAGCACCCCAGTCCATGCAGCGGCTTTCTCTGGCCATCTAAGACTTCTCGGCAGCATTGTACAAGCTGGGGGTGATCTGAGATGTCACGATCAGAAGGGACGGACCCCTCAAGACTGGGCCCAGCAAGCTGGGAGTGAGGAAAATGCCAAGGTACCAACTTATTCAGGTTGATGCGGACTGGATTTCTCCAAAAACTACCTTCTTGTTGTTCTTGTTGTTAAATTAACAACAACTCTGACCTTAACAACAACAACAAAACAACAACATGATGTGCAGTTGATTCTGATTTGTGGCGATCTTTTGCAGTATTTTTTAGGTATAAGGAAGCACAGTGGGGAATCGAACTCCCAACGTCTGGCTCTTCCACCAGATACTTAACTCACTAACCTACCTAGGCAGCTGAATCCATGCTCTACACCTGGCCATATTTCTGTCCTTCAGAATAAAGTAAAATGGCCGCTTTCCTTAACAGCTGTCATGGCAACTAGGCTGAGCACAGAAGAGGCTCACACTGCTCTGTCTGTTTTTATTTGTTTGTTTGTTTGTTTGTTTGTTTATTTATTTATTTATTTATTTATTTATTTATTTATTTATTAGGCTTATATACCACCCATCTAGAACATTACTAAGGGTGGTTCACACAAAAAACAAAAATAGATATAATAAATGAAAACATAAATACAGTACATTAAAAGATGGAGCCGAATTTTACTATAAGAGTCCAAGATGGGAAAAAAGGAAAAGGGGAAAAAAAATAAAGTTAAGTGATGGCTGTTGGGAAGGCTTGGCTGTAGAGCCAGGTTTGCCATCAGCGAGGGGGCCAGGTAGATGAGGGGCCACTGCCAAGAAAGCTCAGTTTTTAGTTTTTTCCCTTCGGTCCTCTCTTGGAGTTAGGCCCCCTCAGACGCCTAGCTTGGCTGGAATGGATGATATGGGCATAACTAGGTGGAAGAAGGCATTCTGCCAAGTATGTTTTCCCCCAACAATCTGCTTATTCATGTGCATGTCTTGTCACCTGTGCTGACCAGGAGAGATGGGACATACAAGGCGGCTGTAGAGTAATGTGTTATCATGTCGCTCTTTTCTGTTCCTGTTGACTCCAGGTCATTGACTTCATAAAGCAGTGCTGCGGCCAAATGGCTCTGGTGGTACAGCATGGATACCGGTCTCTTTATTCAAAAACTCGAGCAGCATCTTCGCACAGCCTGCGTTCCTCTTTCTCATCACGCTTGTCTGCATCCTCCTGGTAAGAAACCACCGACTGCCTGTCTTCTACAGGTATCCGGAATCACAGTATACGGTTCTGGGTCAAAGGAGCTTTTTAAACATAACGGCAAAATACTGTTTTGTAACATAACGTTACGTAAGGCTGATGACATCATCAGCCATGGCAATTTTTAGGAAATTAGAATGGTCCAGTTCTGTCCCCAAAAGGTCCTGGATCTCCCACAGCATCTCTTTCATCATGAGGGAAGCTGTGGGACTGGAGAGGAAGCATTTAATTTCAGCAAAGTGATTGATACTGAAAAATAAGCCACTTGCTGCCAAAGAGAAGCCCAAAGAGAAATTGTCCCTTCTCTTTCATTCTCTCTCCCTGACTCAAAAACTGCACCTTAGTGTGGGTTTTTCTATTCTTCTTGTTACAGGTCTTTGGATAACTCTGAAATGTCTGGAAGCATGAGGAAGCCGGCTGTAGGATATGGACAAGTAAGACAGCATTATGAAAGGGTATCGTTCTGTGTGGTACAGTGGATAAAGTGACAGATTAGGACTCTGGAAAACTGAGTTCAAATCCCCTGCTCAACCATGGAAACTGACTGAGGGAGCAACACTAGTAGAACCACTCCTTCAATATTTCACTTACCTTGAAAACCCTTTTAGGGTCGCTATAAGTCAGCTCTGACTTGACAGCATGTAAAAAGGTAAAGGTTCCCCTTGACAATTTTTGTCCAGTCGTGTTCGACTCTGGGGGGCGGTGCTCATCCCCGTTTGCAAGCCATAGAGCCAGCGTTTTGTCCGAAGACAATCTTCTGTGGTCACATGGCCAGTGCGACTTAGACACGGAACGCTGTTACCTTCCCACCGAGGGGGTCCCTATTTATCTATTTGCATTTATATGCTTTCGAACCGCTAGGTTAGCTGGAGCTGGGACAAGCGACGGGCGCTCAATCCGTCGCGTGGATTCGATCTTACGACTGCTGGTCTTCTGACCCTGCAGCACAAGCTTCTGCAGTTTAGCCCGCAGCGCCACCACGTCCCTAGCATGTAACAACAACAATTCTGTGTGACTGACATCACAGTTTTTGGGCTCATCTGTGTTTTTATTTTATTTTATTTAAATCATTTCTCTTTTTTCCCCCCAGCTCTGCCCAAGCAGGTACCAGCATCCAGGAGTGGCTGCCTTCACATTCATTGCAGAGCACAATGACCTGATCACAGGACACGGAGAGCCAGAATGGAGCTACGAGAATGGACCATATACACTCATGAGAAAGTAAAAAAAATCTAAGTATGGTCTGAGTTGGTCCCACTGTAGAGCTTGTCACCTTCCACACCCTGCCTGTAGAAATAATGACAGTCTGTTGTCCAGAACATCCTACAGCTGTTTCCTTAGAACCCAGTTCTAGGGAAACAGCTGGTATAAGGGAGATCTTTTGTCATCCTGCACCCTAGCTAGTCATCAAATTTAATCCTAAAGCAATGACATAATTTGCCATCATCTTTTTTCCCCCACTTGTTATATATATTTCACACCTAATGGCGCAGCGGGTTAAATCGCAGAAGCCTCTGTGCTGCAAGGTCAGAAGACCTGCAGTCGTAAGATCGAATCCACACGACGGAGTGAGCTCCCCTCGCTTGTCCCAGCTCCTGCCAACCTAGGAGTTCAAAAGCATGTAAAAATGCGAGTAGATAAATAGGTACCACCACGGTGGGAAGGTCACGGTGTTCTGTGTCTAGTTGTGCTGGCCACGTGACCACAGAAACTGTCTACGGAAAAACGCTGGCTCTATGGGTTGGAAATGGAGATGAGCACCCCGCCCCCTAGAGTCGGACACAGCTGGACAAATTGTCAAGGGGAACCTTTACCTTTACCTATTCTATTTTTAGCCCACTTTTCCTCCAAAGAATTAAGGGCACCATAGATGGTTGCCCTCCCCCCCTTTGCTTTATGATGACACATCATTCACCCAGTAATGCTGACTGTTTTGTCCATCCACACAGAGAGAGAAAGACCACTGAACTCTGGAAGAAAGGTGGTACAGGCAGAGCAGAAGGAACAGAGGCAAGGAAATTGTCTGTTCCCATGGGCTGCTTCTTTGTCAAGAATGAGGACATTTTCTTTCTTTATGTTTAACTTTTCCTTCCACAGATTTCTAGACAGGATGGAATAAACTAGGTGATCAGACAGGCATGTGTATGTATGGGTCGCTTTTGGTGTGGTTTGGTTCATCCTGTTTTCCCAGCAGCCACATGCGTTTTCAGTAATGTTGATCCATCCCATCCGCATTTGCGAGATGTCCTGCTCTTTCTGGAACAGCGCTAGGGCTGCAGTGTATTTGGTGTGACCGGATTTCTAGACAGGATGGAATAAACTAGGTGATCAGACAGGCATGTGTATGTATGGGTCGCTTTTGGTGTGGTTTGGTTCATACAGGCATATATATGTATAGCTCGCTTTTGGGTCGCTTTTGGTGTGGTTTGGTTCATCCTGTTTTCCCAGCAGCCACGTGCGTTTTCAGTAATGTTGATCCATCCCATCCGCATTTGCGAGATGTCCTGCTCTTTCTGGAACAGCGCTAGGGCTGCAGTGTAGATCCTCCCAATCCTACAGTCTCTACCATTTGGTTAATCCTCTCCCATTCTGAGTCTGTGAACAGCGCCCTCTGTGGTGACAACCTTGTGACGTATGTAGTGGGTTGTTGTGACATTAAAAGGGATGACAGAGAAACTCCTTCCTCTATTTTGGTCTTCTCTAACTTAAAAAAAAAGAGCTTCCCGAACTCACAGAGCAACATTCTGGATACCTTGGAGGTGCTTTTCAGTGCTGGTGTCATATCTGATGCTGCGCTGACTCGTTTTAAAAGGGGGCGGGTGACAAAAGCTGTGCTTACAGCGAGAACATTTTGGTGTTAAATTGAAAGTGCCTAAGCAGAAGGCTTGAATGGACGTCAGGCTTCAAACAGCAAGAAGCACTGGAGCACTAAATTCTTTCCACCAGAATGATGTGAAACAAAAATAAATGAAGTAACCATTGAACTAAGCGAAACAAGCTTGAAAAAATAATTATGAGATAATACGGAGCCCGGAGTACAAGCACTCTGTCTGGATAAGTCCAAAGTGAACCAATGTCAAAGCTCCGTTATGTTTCTAACTCTTCTTTTTGACAATTGAGTGGCGGAATAGCCGCTGGGACCTAAAGGCTGGCTTTAACACGATGGCCTTCTGCTTCCAGCTTGCTTTGGAAAGGGCAGATGGTCACCGTGCGAAGCTTAAAGCCAGGGATGCCTCCCATCAGCCAGAGATGGCATGGCAGCCTGGATGTGCTCCTAGCTGAACAAGAATACTGCAGGTAAGGCCAGTCGGGCAGGATCTAGCACCCCCACTTGCTTCTAGCGAGGACTCACAGCTGATGTTCCGCATGTCCTCCCATGTTTCCTGCAGCCGCCTCCATCATCCCCATCTACTGCTTCTTTTGGCTGTGAGTCCCTCCTTAGATCTACAGAATCTCCAGCTGGTCTTTGAGAGGGTTGAGATGTGTTCGCTCTACTATGCCTTGCACTGCGAGGTAAGCCGGGTAGTCAGGAATGCTGGGGGCCTTTCCTCGCTCCCCAGCTCTTCCGCTCACCACCGATCCCTCTTCCCTTTTCTCTAGAATTCCGGCTGCCCGGCACTCTCGGCCATTCTGAGTCTGCTGCTGCAGATCTCTGAAGCCCTCTTGTTCCTTCACTCTTCGGGGTATATCCACCGGGCGGTGAGCTCCCATGCAATTCAGCTGGTGAGACCTGGACTGGCCAAGCTCAGCAACCTTGAGTACATGCAGAAGAGGTTGGTGGAAATGAGTACAGTACAGGTTTGTGGGGGAAGACTCAGAGACACTTTAAGGAAGCTTGACTGCTTGGATGTTGTTTCAGGACTGAGGACATTGCCAAAATGTGTGGCATCCCACCGTCCTCAAAGCTCTACAATTGGCTGGCGAGGGAAGTCGTTAAAGGGAGCCCGGGCTCGGTGAACTCTGATCTCTACAGCTTTTGCACTGTGATGCAGGAGATCTTCACAGGTGGGTGGGTGGACGGGTGCCGTGGCCTGTAAACGTACAGTATTAGCAATAGAGAAGCAAGTGTAATCATTTCATAATTACCTAGTTTTGGGAAATATCTGGTTGAATCCAGACATGGGGTCCAACTACCTGACCATTTGTCTTGATGTTTGGCCCACTCTGAAGACAGGCTAGGTTGCTCCTTTTGCCAGTGACCAAATGATGTAAGCCTAGCCCTAGAATGTTTCTTCCCATACCTTTTTGGCTCCCTGTGAGTTGCTACTGTTTTTTAGGTGCAGGTAGAATCGCTCTACCTGGATGTGGTGGCGCTGCCGGCTAAACCGCAGAAGCCTGTGCTGCAGGGTCAGAAGACCAAGCAGTTGTAAGATCGAATCCATGGGTGCCGTGGCCTGTAAACATATTAGGAATAGAGAAGCAAGTAATCATTTCATAATGACCTAGTTTTTGGAAATATCTGGTTGGATCCAGACAATGGGACCAGCTACCAGACCATTTGTCTTGCTGTTTGGCCCACTCTGAAGACAGGCTGGGTTGCTCCTTTTGCCAGTGCACCAAATGATGTAAACCTAGCCCTAGAATGTTTCTTCCCACACCTTTTTGGCTCCCTGTGAGGAGCTGCTGTTTTTTAGGTGCAGGTAGAATCGCTCTGCTTTGGTTTGATTCCAGTTTGTGTGATTACTGGGATCACACCAAAGCTGCTCCTTTTAGAGAAGCTTCTTAATTCAAAACATTTGCCAGGCAGTCCTTTGGATCTTGAGAAATGGGGAAAATTTCCCTTTGAATCCTCTTTACAACTCACCTTTGAAGCAGAAGGGAGGCCTTTGCATTTTTTTAATGGTGGCTAAAATCTACATCCTTTAGCAGGCTTTGTTTTTAAAAAAACTTTCAAAGCTTCACTGACACATTAGCAACAATTAATAAGAAAAGCAAAACTTGTCCCCTGTCCTATTCTCCAAAGGACAGTAAGTAGAAGTTTCCAGTTAAGTAGCCTATTCAAAAGGACAGCCTTGATGATCTTGAGAAACCTTTCGCTTTAAAAAAGAAAGAAGATCTTGATAATGCTAAACAGGGTCACTTGAGAAGCAATGTGGTTTCCAGACCTGGAACCACCCAATCCCACGCACCTCTGTCCAACCTTAAGTAACCCTATTTGCACATGGATGTTAATGGTCACACCACACACCTCTGTCCAACCTTAAGTAACCCTATTTAGCCTGATCCTGCCCCCCTTCAACCGGCCATCTAGCCAAGCCCTAAGTCAGAGAAAACTCTACTTAAAATGGAATTTAAGGCAGCTGTTATTAATGCAAGTCTCGTTTATTTCTGTGGAACTACTCAAAGTATGACTCAGGTTTGAATCCAGTCTTTTCATGGTTAGATTTTAGCATTTAGTTCTAATGCTGTCATTTTTTCAGTGCAGAGAATAAGTTACAAGGGCATCTTGAAGGTAAAAGAATGCAGAGAACATTGTCTTTTTTTTTTTTTTTAGAAGATGGCACTGATGATTTGATAATAGATGATTAAGTGGCAAAAGAAAAGACTGTCTTTTCCTGGTGCATTGTGAAAAAGTAGAAAAGACAGGAGATACAGGTTGCATTTTAAGAATGTACTCTGTCTTGAAATGGAGTACGGCATTCAACAGCAAGGTAGATGTGTCCTTGGAGAGAGTTATCAGTAAAACCAAGGTATCTGCTCACAGAGGAAAAAGTGCAGGTCATATTCTGGGATAAGTACAGAACTGGATAATCAAGATGGTGGAAGAATTCAAATCTCAACCTTGCCAAGGGAAGTTTCTTCTCTATGTAGCTTCCAGAAAAGATAATTGGTGGGGAATATGATAATTATAATTTATGGTCTAAATACACTTATTACAGTATTTCCAACTAGAGCAGGCACAATGGCCAAATTCCTGTCACATAGTTACACCTACTGAAGGCAAACAATGTAATTTATAGCAGATGCTCACTAACAATCATAACATCTCAATTTAGAATTTCATGTGCATGCTGATCTGGTGATTGGCAGATGCCCAAAAATCCAAGGGAGACTCATTAATTATCAGCAAGAAACCTTTGCAAGTTATGCCATTTCCCTTTTGCAGGTGTAACTAAGCAACAGGATCTTAACCTTTAAACTTAATAGAACTTACATATGTGTGGACTAAACAGGTCTCACTCATTCACTGTATTTCTTCTATTCAGGACTAATGAATATTTCTAACGCTACTTATAAGATGGAGGGGATGAGTACTGGATAGAGAGATGTTTTTCTTCAGTGAAAAATGTCCATCTCAAGAAATATTTATTCACACAACAGTTCATTAGTTAATGGAATTTGATGCTATATGATGTGGTTATGTGATTTCTAGATAACCCTGGGACCAAAAAGATATGTTGGGCAGCAGAGTAGAAATTATGCTACATTCAGGAAAGTTCATTTGTGACTCTACCGGACTACATAAGTAATGTGTGTTTTCCAGGTGAAATCCCTTGGGGCGAATTGGATGGCTGGGCTGTGAGGGAGAAAATGAAGGCAGGGGAGTCTCTCTTGGCTGATGCCCGTGTCCCACAGCCTTTTTATGAGGTAGTCAAAGATGGCATCGCCTTGAAAGAACGTGACCGGAAGGGTACTTTCACCAGCATACATTATGTATTGCGGACCACCCAGCAGGTGAGGAGTTCAGCTGGATGGAACTTCAAACAAATCCCCTCTGTGACCTTAAATGTAAAAGGCCCGTTTCTCATCTTCCGGAAAATAGGGAACCAGCCTCTGCTGAGTTCAAGTTACAGTTGGCTTGCAGGAGCCTTCTCGTATTAACAGTATCTGAAGGTTTTCTCAAGGTTTTCTCAGCCAGCTGATATTAGACCTTGTCTTTCCTCTTATTTACGAGGACAAGAAGCATACAATATATTATTTTGTTTCTTCCAGGGAGGCACAGCAGGCTCTCCATTGCTTTCCTCAGTGGCCTCGTCATCCAAGAAGCTGTATATGTGGGCAGGACAGACTGAGTCTGAGGAATCATCCCACTCAATCATTCCTGAAGATCCGTCTGATACCAATAATGGTAGGAACAGCGGATGCAAAAGAGCATTCCTTCATCATTTAAAAAATGGATTTAGGAAATGTTCATATTTAGGAATACTGTAAGTGGATAGAACATTGATATTGGGAATTCAGCTTCAAATACTTCTTTGTGAAGAAGTAAGATGTTAGATGTTGAGGAGCGTGCTTACTCCCTATAATCAGCCTGTTTCCCCTCTTACAAGATTTCCTCAGAGAGATGTCTCAGCTTTCAGACTTGCACATGAAGCCTGTGTTTGCCTTCAGTGACCAATCTCCAAAAAAGCAACCAAATACAAGTCGTATCAGCCCAAAATAGGTACAGCTAGCATGTCTTTATAGGAGAGCTCCCTAAAGAGATTTTAAAAGTCTGTTTACTCAAACACCAGCTTGCCTGAACTTGTTTTCGATTTGTGATGCATCATCAGGAGGCAAATGTGGACTTTATTTGAAAGTCTGATGGCTGAAGCATGGAACTTTGGAGGAATCACGTGTCTGGAGATGAAGTCTTGTAATGACCTTCCCCTTAAAAAATGTGATTGGATCCCTTAGTTGAGAAGGTGGGAAGAATCACATACTTTGACAAACAGACATTTTTTCACCACTCAGGGAGCACCTCTAATGAATACAGCTAAAGATATCCTCTAGTTTGACCCCACTGCCCTGTTGAGCAGATTAGTGATGCTCACGAAAGATATTGCAAAAAGCACTTTGTACAAGTATTTTAGTAATAATGATTCATCGTGATAGTAAGTGGAAAAAGAGGAAAATGTACATCAGAAGGTTCACACTGACTGCTTCTTAGCAGGAGAATGGGAAACGGGCAGGGTACTATAAGGCTGCACAGCATCATTTTGGTGCCCAGCAAAGAGAATGAATGGAGATAGGAGGAAAAGCTAGAAAGCATACAAAGACTTGCATTCTCCTTTCTGCTGTATCTTCCTGTCTTCCAGAGCTACCCTATTTTGAAGTTGAGTCCAGTGGCCAAAGTGCAGCACAAAGCACACCCAACGTACAGCCTGACAGCCAGACAATCACCCAGACTCAGGTAACAGATGGCCAGGACTGGTGTTACAGTACTGGGTGCCGATTCCTTTCTTACTTCAGTGGAGGAACACAACTGCCATGTGCTCCATTGACAGGACTGTGCAAATTCACTTCCATTTGCAGCTCATACTAGGGATGAGAGTAGCCCCATGCCATGCCCTCAGGCCCTGCCTACGGCAGCCACAAGGCATGATGTAGGCTATAGTGGTACCTCGCTAGGTGACGACCCCGCTGTATGACAAAACCGCAGGACTACAACTTTGCGATCGCTATAGCAATTCGCAAAACAGTCATTCCTATGGGGGAATTCCACTGGACGTCTATTAGGTCCGTGCTTCGCGGACCGTTTATTCGCACGATGATGATCTTTGCAGCTGATCGTCGGGTTCCTACAGTAAATAGCTGCCCTGTGTTTTCCGGACCCATGCTTTGCAGGGCAGTCATTTTAACAGCTGATCGGCGCTCGGAAAATGGCTTCCCTATGGGCGATCTTCGCTGGACAACGAGGTAATTTCCCCATTGGAATGCATTAAATGGGTTTCAATGCATTCAAATGGGGAAAGGCCTTTCGCATGACAACGATTTCGCTTAACAGCGATTTTCCCGGAACGGATTATCGTCGTCATGCAGGGCACCACTGTATTTCATTTTAAGTTGTTGTCAGCGCTTCTTGTGACCTAAATCCAACATAACCCTGGTGGACTGAAATCCTTTCTAACACAGTAGTGCTCAAGTGTGTTCTTTCACAAGAAAATGGGGAAAGCCTTTTCGCATGACAACGATTTCGCTTAACAGCGATTTTCCCGGAACGGATTATCGTCGTCATGCAGGGCACCACTGTATTTCATTTTAAGTTGTTGTCAGCGCTTCTTGTGACCTAAATCCAACATAACCCTGGTGGACTGAAATCCTTTCTAACACAGTAGTGCTCAAGTGTGTTCTTTCACAAGAGGCTGGGCAGCTCTTGCACAAGTGTCTATATACTGTGCAGCTACTTGCTGTGCAAAGCCTGTATTGTTTGCCCTGCATGTTCTGGTGCTAAAGACACCCAAACACCAGCGCATCTTCAGCTCTTGCGCTTGTACAGTGACCTCATAAGACAGAGGGCTGCAGTTGCATTTGCTTTTTGTAATTAATATTTTTGATTTGCAATAACTATAGATTTGGGACTATTTCCCACAGAAAGGGACTTTAGTTGGTGTTTGCTTGCATCATCCTAGTTGTGAGCCAAGTGGGAGTTGCGACATCACCTTCTGAGTCGTATCCACTGAAGGGGACGTGGGGTTCCACAAATGTTCTTTCTTCTAGAACGAAGGCAATCAACGAATCTGTAGCCCTCTCAGATCCTCTCTGCAGCAGCATCAGAGATCAAATTCGGACAGCGCATGTGAACCAGGGTGCAGTGAGGAAGAGTCGGCTACCTCTCACGACAGGAGTCTTGAATCTGTAGCTTTGGTATGATTTGCTTATTTTATTTTAAATATGTTTACCTCGCCTTTCTCCTCAAAAGGACTCAAGCCCACAGGCCACAACCCCTAAACCCAAACTGCAGGACATGCCCTGCTCATATGCCCCCCTCAGTTGTTTTACTTGCTTTAATTACTTTCAGTTTTTGCTACCTCCCTTTCCCCTCCCCTCAACAATCAAACCTGTTGCTATTCCATGAGCCTCAGCCTCCCTTCACAGACAGCTCTGCCCATGAGTCATGCATGGCTTTGCTTCCCTACTTTTACAGTCGTGGGCTGCTTTCTTATGCATAATATTTTACAAATTAATTCCAGCTATATCTCTCCTTCCTTCGAGTGAGCTCAACACGGCATACACAGTTACTTCTTCCCCTCTGGAGCTTCATAACAACCGGCGGAGTACGTCAGGCAGAGAGAATAGCGGGCCCATGGTCTCGCCTGAGGAACTTCGGTGGCCCAGAGAACCTGAGTCTCCCAAGTCCGTGTTGTCCCTCTCGTGCGTGCATAACGAACATACCCCGGCTTCTCTTTTCACACCCTCCCTTGCCTGAGTTTACATCCATGGGCTGTTTTCCTAACTAAGTCCTAACTTTCCATCTTTCCCTCTCCAACCCTACCTCTCTCCTCACCGTTCTGTATCTCCTCCAGGGAGATGCCACCCCGGCCCTCCCAGAGGACCCGTTGGTGAACAGTCTGCAGGATTCCACCTGCCTCTTAGAAAAGGTTCAAGTCTCGTTAGAAGACCTTGAAAACCGGTTTGCCTCCAGTATCCACATGTTAGAGTCGTTTGTCAGTCAGCAAAGGGCGCAAGGGCCAAGCACCCACAGCGGTGGAGCCTTGCCCAAGCAGGCTGGGTCAGGTGAGTGGCAGCATTTAATGTAAGAAAGACCTAATGCCCAGAAATTTTACTTTTTTGGACCACAACTCCTGGGTTTTCCATTGACTATGCAGGGCGAGATATTCTAGGAATTATAGTCCAAAAAGGGCAATTCCGCCACTCCTGTACTGCTCTGCTAGTGCCTCATAGCAGCAGATGGTTCCTCTAAATCTAGATTCTTGTGGGGGGGACTTTGAGATATGCTGAGAAGTATCTATTTTTGTGTCCAAGTTTTCCTCTCTTAAATGGATTTCTCAGAGAAAATGAGTTGCAATTAACCTCAGGTGTGGAAAAAAAATAAGTGAACATTTATTGGATCTCAAGAAAAACCTTGAAAGAATACTTCCCAGAGGAGTTATAAGACATTGACTGGGTACAGAATCCATTCGCAAACCAGACCAAACAATCAATGCTAACTTTTTTGGAGTATGAGAATTTGAGCGATATTGATTGATTGATTGATTGATTGATTGATTGATTGATTGATTGATTGATTGATTGATTGGATTTTTACCCCACCCCTCTAGACAATGTCTACTCGGGGCGGCTTACAAATAAAAGACGGCAATATATACATATGTAAAATCATAAAATTTTTAGTTATTTACAATTATAATTACAATCTGAGTAATTGATAACCTACCAAAGCATTGCCAAGATGGCCTAACATAAGGAGAAAGAAAAAGAAAAAACTGGGGATAGAAATCACTTAATTGACTGGAGGGAAGGCCTGTTTAAATAGCCAAGTGTTTAGCTAGCTTTTGAAAACACCCAACGAGGGTGCCAGCCGAATTTCGGTTGGAAGAGTGTTCCACAGCCGAGGGGCCACCGCCGAGAAGGCCCGGTTTCTTGTTTTTTCCTTCCAGGCCTACCTCAGGGTCAGGCCCCTCAGCCATCCCTGCTGGCTATGATGGGTGTTTCAGGTAGATCTGGGTGGGAGGAGGCGATCTGCCAAATATTGAGGTCCCAAATCATTTAGGGCTTTATATGTGATCATTAACACTTTGAAGTCGACGCGGAAACGGATGGGCAACCAGTGCAAAGCAGCCAGAGTGGAGGAGATATGTTGGTGTTTTCTCACCCCACTTAAAAGCCTGGCTGCCACATTCTGGACCCCTTGAAGTTTCCGTGTCAACCTCAAAGATAGCCCCACGTAAGAGTTCATCCTCTCTAAAACACAAGTTTGAATCAGTACCATTGAACAACTTTTTGATTTGACTTAAGGATGAATATCTTGCAGTCGCTGTGAAGGCTATCATGACTCTGCTTTCATTTGTGTCAACTTATTGATGCGAAACTGGCTTTTCAGCTTACCCTTACACCAAAAATAAATTCAGAACTAGACTGGATGCCACTCCAGATTTATGAATTCAACTGTCAGATGTTAAACCTAATTTTGGGGCTATTATAAGTAAAACAATGAAAAAAATTCATTCTTCACATTAAATATAGGAGTACTTACATAAATATACTTAAGTAATTATGTACCAATAATATCAACATGCAAGAAAGAATTTTAATTTCAAATTATAGTCTTTCTTTTCAAGTTGAACATGACAATATGCAAACAATTAGGTATCAGGGGTCTTAAGGATAAGATATAAATAAAATAAATTTGGTTTGTATGTTCACAATTGCCAATTAACTTTCTTTATGGGAGTTGAGGTTCCACCAAAAGAAGGTCGATCATTTAGGGTTCCATAACCAAAAAAAAAGGGAATCACTGCACTAGGTAGCCAAGTGCCTTGCTATTTCAAGAGATAAAAGCTTCTAGCTTCTTTGCTGCCATCATTTCCATCATGACTACTTACTTACTTACGTACTTACTTATTTAAAATGCTTTTTATTCCCCTTTCTCCTTAAAAGGGCCCAAAGAGCAGCTTACATCATTAAAATACAGTATGTAACTTAGTAACAATGACTAAAAGGATCAATGAATACAACACCAGAAAACATAAGCAATACCAAAATACATTCAATGCAGTGTTGTTGTTGTTTAGTCGTTTAGTCGTGTCCGACTCGTTGTGACCCCATGGACCAGAGCACGCCAGGCCGTCCTGTCTTCCACTGCCTCCCGGAGCTGGGCCAAATTCATGTTAGTCACTTCGATGACACTGTCCATCCATCTCATCCTCTGTCGTCCCCTTCTCCTCTTGCTCTCACACTTTCCTAACATCAGGGGCTTTTCCAGGGAGTCTTGTCTTCTCATGAGATGGCCAAAGTATTGGAGCCTCAGCTTCAGGTTCTGTCCTTCCAGAGAGCACTTAGGGTTGATTTCCTTCAAAATAGATAGGTTTGTTTTTCTTGCAGTCCAGGGGACTCTCAAGAGTCTCCTTCAGCACCACAATTCAAAAGCATCAGTTCTTTGGCGGTCAGCTTTCTTTATGGTCCAGCTCTCACTTCCGTACATCACTTGATGGTCCAGCTCTCAACCTCCGTACATCACTACAAGAAAAACCATAGGTTTGACTATTCGGACTTTTGTTGGCAAGGTGATGTCTCTGCTTTTTAAGATGCTGTCGAGGTTTGTCATCGCTTTCCTCCCAAGAAGAAGGGGTCTTTTAATTTCAGGGCTGCTATCACCATCTGTAGTGCAATTAACTTCAATGCAGTAAGATACAACAATTCATTTTTAAAAACCAACTCAGGCAGCCAGTCACTCAGGGAAAGCTTGCCTGAAGAGAAAGGTCTTTGCTTGCCTGTGGAAGGAGAGTAAAGATGGGGCCAGTCTGGCCTCCAGTGGGAGGGAATTCAAAGTCTGGGAGCAGCTACAGAGAAGGCCTTCTCCTGTGTACCTAGCAAACACACTTGCAAAGGTTGTCGAACCAAAGGAGGCCTGTCCTGATGATCATCCTGATGGTGAATGTCTGTGTCTTTTCCATCACCTACAGAAAAGTACGAGAAATCCAGTCAAAATTGTTCCCTTCAGAACTTAATTGATTTGTCAACTAAAGCAAGAGAAAAGCACCAGGTAATTTTTTTTTCTAATTAGGAAGCCTTCGGCTATGCCTTCTTGTTGTGTGTTGCTAATGTTAACTATCTTTGTGTCCACAGCAGAATCTTGGACCAACAAAGATTTTCCAGAAGCAGGAAAGCTCTACAGATGGGCCTTTTTGCTGTGCGCAGTCGTATGTAGCAGATTTCCCAATGATGTTTTCAGGCGGAATAAAGCAGGGTTTTCAGGTCATATGTTTTGAAAGAGACCATGGGAGGTGAAGTGCCCAATCTTGAAACCATCCCAAGTGGATAATACAATGCACCTTCTTCAAAATACTTAGTGACAAATTTCCCAAACTCTGTTGTTCAATTCATCTACCAGTTAGCAGAAGATCCCCTGCACAACTACTTTTTCGCAGTTTGATTTGTTAATCATTCTTCCTTGGTTTACAAACTAAATCTTCACATTAAAGATGGGCATGAACCACCAGTTTGTTCATTGGCTAAACAAGTGTGTTCACCACTTCAAAGCTCCACCTCCTCTGGCGAGTGCCCACTCAGAGGCAGCGGCCTGGCTTCTGTGCCCCGCCTCCACCAGGCACTGCCTCTGAGTGGGCATCTGCCAGAGGAGGCAGGGCTTCGAAATGTCAAACACACCTGTTCAGCCAGTAAACAAATGAAAGTCTGAATTGGCAGTTTGTGCCCATCTCTACTTCACATTCTTTAGTTCCCTTGTACTTCCTAATTAGCACCTTAAAATACAGTGTAAAGCTATATTAACCACAATTTTTTTCTTCCTGCCTCCACAGATTTGACCTCCTCCAGGAGATCATCCAAGAGCTTCAAGGAACAGGAAATTCCCACACTGTGAGCCAGAGTAGGTACTGAATGTGGGTCTCATTTTACATGTGCAAGACTAGAATTAGGCTCAGGCAATGGACAGAATTAGGAAAAGACCTAGGAGGAATTTCCTGTATGATTTGACCTGTATAAAGGATATGAGTACAGTAGTGCCCCGCATAGCGAGCGCCCGTTTAACGACGAAGCCGTATAGTGATGCGGATTTTGCGATCGCAAAAGTGATCGCATTGCGATGTTTTAAGTGGCCGAAAATCGCATTGCAATGATCGGTAAGCATTTCGCTTACTGATCTCCGCATTGCGATGTTTTTGGAACAGCTGATCGGCGGTTCCAAAATGGCCGCTGGGTAAACAAAATGGCCGCCCGCAGCTTTTTGGCGCGGTTTCCTCACTTACTGGGCAGTGAAAATGGCGGCCGGATGGAGGATTTCCGCATAGGAATGAGTTTTTCCCCCATAGGAACGCATTAAACATGTTTTAATGCGTCCCTATGGGGTTTTTTGCCCCGCATAGCGAGGAATCCGGATAGCAACGTTTTTCCTGGAACAGATTAATGTCGCTATGCGGGGCACCACTGTAAACTGATTTGCCTGTTTTGTATAATGCACATCTGTCTCAGCCAATAGAATAGGCCAAAAAGCAGGCACAGCACTGAAGTCCTGTTACAGCTTGCTCCCTGGAAGTCCTATTCAGCTCTCTACTCTAGTTGTTGAGATTTCATTGATTTTGACTGATATACTTTCCAACCTTTTCTCATTCCTATTCTGCTGGAGACTAGGATTATTAAAGCTAGGAATGTTTTTATTGAAATGACATATGAGATTTTTAGGAAATTGGAACCCGTAGGGTCCATCTGTCGGGTCCAGGTAAGATGTCTGATTGTCACCGCACAGGCATTTCATGCATCCTGTAGGCTGCAGATTAGCTTGCTTCATTTTGTGATTGGTTGTTGGGAGGTAAACATGGGCTGTGTTTGCAAGTATGATAGTTGTTCACAGAAGTCCACCGATATTGTTTCTTTAGCTGGAACACCAATGCAACTTCAGCGTCTTGCAATGTGCTGCTTGCAGTATTGAGTTGGAACGTTAGCTTGATGGATTGATGTCCAATATCAAATTCTACCCTTGTGCAGAATCACAGTGCAGAGAGCCTGTACCTATAGAAATGGATCAAGAGATAGAATTACTTAAGAAGGGGAGTTTAGGGCAGTGGTAGAGCGTATTCTTCCAGTGCTGGAAACCCTAGGATCAATCCCTGGTATCTCCAGTTAAAAGTGCCAAATCCCCAGCCTGAACCCCAGCAAGCTGCTGTCAGAATAAAATATATTAGGTTTGATAGATAGCCTGACTTCCTATAAGTCAGCTTCCTATGTTAATAAATGTGGGATTTTATTGCAAGATAGCAACAAAGCCTAGTGTCTCATAAATCCACACATTTCACTTCTGTAGGGCAGCAAGAATGGAGTGAAAAAGGAAAATTGTCTCCAAGATGAATGGCCTCTGAGCAAAAACCAGCAGCTCCTGTCCCCACCACAGGTCAAGGTGTGGTGGCCAGTTGATGGACCAATGAGTGACCACCACCAACATCTGGGCTTGTTGCTGGCTGGGCTGAATGGATCCGAGCTCCCATTCAGAGATAAACGCAATCTCTTTTCTTTATTAATTTAGCAACCAGTTTGTAACCTCCGAATCCAGCAACCTAGATTTGCAGCCTTTGCTGCTCTTTATTAAATAGTTGAAAATATTTCTGCTCTTCGATATAATGTCTGTTTGAAAAATCTTGTAACAGTGGATCAATTTCATGTACACTGAACTTGGGGCAGCACCACTCTTGGTCAGATGGAGAAATGATGGACATGGCCATAATGTGGTGATCATGTGACAGGGTTAAAGGTCTTCCAAGCCATTCCCCCCCCCAAAAAAATACCCATTGTTCAACTCACATTCTTTTGTGATTTGTTTTCATGCAAATTCACCAAACTATGCCAACTGATCCAACAAGGTACACATACAGTTTGCTTGGTAGTCCCTGTTTTGAAAACTGGAGCTGGCTAGATAACCCAGTGGTTTAGGTGTCTGGCTCTGGAACCAGAAGTGGGAGTTTGATTCCCTCCGTGCCCCTTGGCAGAGAAGCCAGCCTACATAGCCCTGAGCAAGCTGCACAGACACATAGCACCCCCAGAAGAAGGGAATGGTAAACTACTTCTATTCTGTATCTGGGAAACCCTTAAAAAGGTCACCATAAGTCAGAACTTATACTTATACAGAGTACTTATACTTCTTCTTCTTCTTCTTCTTCTTCTTCTTCTTCTTCTTCTTATTATTATTATTATTATTATTATTATTTTTATTATTATTATTGTTGTTGTTGTTATTGTTGTTATTGTTGTCTTGAGCCGGCTACCTGGGATTTGAACCCCAGGTCGTGAGCACAGTTTTAGCTGCAGTACAGCGTTTTAACCACTGCGCCACGAGGCTCTTATAATTATACTACTTATACTTATTGTTGTTGTTGTTGTTGTTATTATTATTATTATTATTATTGATCCAAGAATACCATTTTATTTAATTTGATTTTGATTTATTCTAATGGACCAACCCAGGAAAGTTTTCATGAGGAGCTGGGCAACTTTGTCTTGGACTGCCTTGTCTATTGAGTCCATGACAAAGGTGTCTTCCTTCCATGGAGCAGTGGTAAAATGCATAAGAGAATGAACCGAAGCAAAATGGGCACTTCTGCCCTCTCATCAAAATGCCATCCTGAAAGATAATCATGCTGGATCACTGGGAAAAACGGTAAGCCAACACTATCCCAAATCTATCCCTAAACCACACAGTCAAGTGTAAACACTCCAGACCCTGACAGCTCAGAGGTCCTACTGACAATGATGGGATCCCTTTGGGTCCTCATGGATCCCCACCCCAACCTCTCCAACCTGTCCTGGTGCTGGACCGAGTTCCCTGGTGGCCACTGCTGAGAGAGGGCAACTCCTCCCTCTTTTGCCAACCTAGGTCTTTGTGATACAAGCCAGGCTGGCTCTCCCCTCCCTAATAAGACCTTGAGTAAGGTGAGATTTATTGAGCGCCGATCTGGCATTAATCAGCAGAAGGGTCAGATTGAAGGGCCGGGAGAGCTGGCTCTTGCTGGTGAGTGGAGCGGCCAGACCAGTTATCTGACTTGGGTTCTCCTGCAACAGAAGGCCATCCTTCCTTAAAAAAAAATTCCCCAATCTGTCACCTCCTGAGGGGAATTGAGTTCCATTTAGATGACACAAAGTTCCCTCCTCAAACCTACCAAGTCTGTGAGGAGAAACAAAAGTTCCCCAACAAAACAATTAAAAAGAGGTTCCTAGCTAAATTACAAAGGTTCAGAAAATAAGTTTTTTTTTTAACTTAAATATTAGCCCTTTACATACATCAGAATGAAACAGTTACTCCTCTGTCATTTAATAAGGTTTCCAATGGCACGGTTACAAAAGTTCCCAAACAATTAAAAAGAGGTCCCTAGCTAAATTACAAAGGTTCAGAAAACAAGGTTTTTTTGAACTTAAACATTAGCCCTTTCCATACATCAGAACGAAACAGTTACTCCTCTGTCATTTAATAAGGTTTCCAATAGCACAGTAGCTTTTTTCACATTCCATTTAGCTTAGGTGATTCCACTTCTCCGTTGCCTGTCAGGTAAGGCCCCTGCTCTTGGTGAAGCTCTTTCCAGATGCTGTGCATTTCTGTGGTTTCTCCCAAGTGAGATCTTGAGATCTTTGACGACTAAATAAAGGAAGACTAATCTCTGCATTCTGAATCTTTTTCAGGGATTTGTGGGTCTTCTCTCTCTCTCTCTCTCTCTTTTTTAAGTGAGATTTTTGACGACTAAATAAAGGAAGACTAATGTCCGCATTCCGAATCTTTTTCAGGTCTTCTCTCTCTCTCTCTCTCTCTTTTTTTTTTTAAGCTTAGCCTCAGAAAAAGAACTGGAGCAGAACTGCTGCCTGAATCAGTTCTGCAGTTCATACCAAAAAAGCCCTGAAGATATCAGGGCATATTCTCTCAATACTGCAAGTTTTTGACGACTAAATAAAGGAAGACTAATGTCCGCATTCCGAATCTTTTTCAGGTCTTCTCTCTCTCTCTCTCTCTCTTTTTTTTTTTAAGCTTAGCCTCAGAAAAAGAACTGGAGCAGAACTGCTGCCTGAATCAGTTCTGCAGTTCATACCAAAAAAGCCCTGAAGATATCAGGGCATATTCTCTCAATACTGCAAGTCAACTCCTGAGCAAGTGGCATTGAAGGGTTAAAAGAAACCACATGAGGGCGCCAGAGCCATACCGGGAAAATGAAAAAATCCAAAGGCTTTTGTAGCAATGGGTACAATTAAATTTCACTTCCAGCTTATGTTGCAAAAGCAACACTTCATCAAAGTGTGAACAATCTGGCAGCCAAAGTGTGTTCCCTTCACTGGTGCCACATCATGGTTTGCTGAAAAATGAGACAGAATGTTTTTTTTCCTGTCTGACACATACTGGGGGGGGATCATTGCTTGTCCCAGCTATCAAGTTTCTCTATAAGGAAAAACAACCTAGCAAGTGTCTGAAATTGTTTATTGCTGTGCAGATGATCATGCAGTTACAATGGCCTCCATGGTAGACCTGCTTCTGTACTGGAAAAAAAAGCATCTGTGAGACTAAAATGCATGAGGGTTAAAAAAATCATTGTCAGATTGTTCTAGTAAAGTGTGGTTGTCACAGGCTGTCACATCACTAGGTGATGTAGGGGTGACCTCAAGGCCTGTGAGGTGTCCAAGGAGTGATTAACCGTTGCCATCCATCAGATCATTTCCACACTCAAGCAGCTTTTTCAGCCAAGGAATCGAAATGTACCACAGCCGGTATGGAAATACCATAAAAATAATGCATGTCATACCATGTTCCAAAAATAGAGTTATATTAATGTACTGTTGTCAGAAGACCAGCAGTCGTAAGATCGAAACCACACGACAGAGTGAGCTCCCGTCGCTTGTCCCAGCTCCTGCCAACCTAGTAGTTCAAAAGCATGTAAATGCGAGTAGATAAATAGGTACCACCTCGGTGGGAAGGTAACAGCGTTCTGTGGCTAAGTCACACTTGCCACATGACCACGGAAACTGTCTTCAGACAAACGCTGGCTCTATGGCTTGGAAACGGGGATGAGCAGCGTCCCCTAGAGTCGGACACAATTGGACTAAATGTCGAAGGGAACCTTTACCTTTACCTATTCTGTTTTCAGATTTTTGCTAGTAACCATCCTAGTTCAGGTTGCATCTTTTTCAGGTTTATAAATGGTATTGGGTTATCTTAACACAGCTTACTCCTGTGATCTATGGCTTGGACTCCGTTACGATCAGATGGATGGATAGGAAATAGAGATCAATCAGCTTTAACAAGATAAAACGATTTAGTAGGTGCAAATGGAAACTTTGCCCCCCCCCCCCGATATCTATTGAGAAGTGAGAGCAAACATTGAAACTGGGGAAAAGTTTCTTCTTCCAGCCATTAGAACAAGTTTTCTTCTTCTCAGTGATAGCTGGAGATGAACCAAAACTTGGACAAGTTACCGTCTTGGACTCTCCCATACTCTATATAAGCATGGCCTACACGGGTCGACTTCTGGAAGTCATAGATCCAAAAAAGGCATTCCAAGTTGCAGTTGTAGCATATCATTTTCTTATGGGGAAAAATGGTTGAACTACAGGCCACAAGACTGACAAGATACCATTGTTAATCTACTGAGGAGAGCTGTTTTGGGGACACTTAGTGCCTGGGCTTTAGAGGGCCTTAAAGACTAGCACACAAGCCATGCAGTCTCTCCAGAGGATACCTCAGTATCCTGTCTTCCTCAGAAGCCACCAATTATGAAGTGAATAATTTGCTGTCACTTCCTAATTGTTTCTTACCATTTCAATTAATCGAAACAGGCCACTGGTTTTGCCAGCTTCCTCTAGCAGTAAGTGACACAGTAATGTGTGGTTTGCTTCTCAGCTGTGTAAAAATCCTGCTAAGATACAGAAATGGTTTCGTTTGCGAGCTAGAAGTGGATTTGTTGATTAAGGCGCATGTAATGTTTTTAACCTTGATATCTGAGCAGAGATAAGTAAGGACAGCAAAAACCCAGTCCTTAGAAGCAAAGGAATGTTTTCTGTGAAAAAAGCTGTTTCACTTAAGTGGCACTAGAAACGTTTTCTTTTAAGACCATTGGCAAAATACTGTAAGCTACTGTAACAGGGGTCACTCCTGACATCCCTGGTGGGCCTTCCACCCTTCCCCAATGCTCTCCTTCACATAGGAACGGGCAGCCTGAATGTTGACAACACCCATGGCAGCAGTCAAGATGGTCTACAGGGTATCCTCTTGTGTTACTTTTATTTTTGTTTTAGTTTGTCTTAGCCGCCTAGAGTAATCTTAATTTATTAGATAGGCGGGATATAAATAAAATGAATAAATAAATCAATAAAATATCATCTAATTTTTATTATTATTTTAGTTGTATGTTTCCTTAAGTATGTAAAACCACTCCAAGTAGTATTTCACTAAGTCCGAAAGCTCAATATAGAAACAAATAAAATTGTGCTCACTCACATTCACATTTGCTGAAAAGCAGCCCTGACAATTGCTTTGTTTGAGAGAGAATTGTTTAATTGAATGGAAAAAGGAGTTGGTTTCTGGGATTTTCCTTTGCTTAGTGTCATTTTGTGACTGGTATCCTGTAGACTAAGGTCCCCAACCCTTTTTGGGGCTGTGGACTGGCTGGGGGGGACCGAGCACCATGTGTGGGGGCATGTCATGCTCACGAGCATGTGACACGTCTGCCACATGTCCATGCGGGGGGGCAAAGATCCGTCTCTGCGGTCCAGTTCCGGCAAGCCCATGGACCGGCCCCGGGTCATGGGCCGGGGGTTGACAACCCCTGCTATAGACCATCTTGACTGCTGTCATGGATGTGGTCAATATTCAGGTTGCCCTTTGCTATGGAAAGCTTGCCATCCTTTTTCCTGGTGGCAATTCAGGAATCATGTTGTGCAGAAATATCAGGCCATTTCCTAACATTTTAAATTATGGATACAAGAAATACAATATCCCACATTCATAAATCAAAGTTGCTGGGGTTTGTTTGTTTTGAAGAACTGAATATAAAAATCTGATTCCAAGGTTGGCAAAAAAAAAAAAGTTAAAAAGTAAGAAGAAGAGTAAAATAAATGGTGTTAAAATATGAAGGATTTTAATACAAACATGGTGGCCTTGACAGAACAAGAATACAAAAGGCTTTGCTTCCAGGCATATGTTACAAAAATGTGGTTGATTGAAAAGAGGAGATGGCTGAGATTTATTCCAAATACATTCATCTTCCAAAAGAGACCTACACAAAGCAGTCAGGTTGGCATGATAGAAAATTGCAATTCCAGAATAAACATCAGAAAGCTGGGAGGTTGGAATGGAAAGGATTACAACAATGTAAATAAGGTTTACGCAGTTCTTCTTTTGACACAATAGGTAGCCAGCCAGAGGCCATTGAGAGAATGCATGTGTGTGTGTTTGTTTCTTTTTTTTCTTGCCCAGGTGAGAGTGGACCATGTGCAGGCTTTGGGCTCCATCCAGATGTGCCCAAAGCCCATCCCTCAATCTGATGTTTGTTGTGCTTTTAATCAAGATAATTGGTCCCCAACCCCCCCACACACACACACATCCCTTCTGGGGATAAGGAAAAGCATTTCTCTCTAGAAGACATGAGGGATCTTTTTCAATGCGGGGGGGAGAGAAACATTTTTCTGTCTCCATTTGGGGTAGAATCGACACACGAAAGAGTGCAGCCCTCTTGAGGTCAAGGAACAGGGGTGTGTGGCCTTTGAGCCCCTGGAAATTGCTTATTCCTGAATTAAAGGATGGGACAATAGGCCCCCAAAGCAGAAACACCGCAGGGATTGGCCTCAGAATTGCTCCCATCACTGAAACTACCTTGCGGTAATAGAACCAGGGCTTGCTGAGAGTCGAAGCACGAGTCCCTTTTGTTTATTCGCAAGGTGATAGAGAAATTGGAATTTTCCAGCAATAGTTGTCAGCACGAACCAGCCCATCCCTGATGAATTGGTTGCAGCACCCTTCTGGCTCCCTAACAGGAGCTACTCTTTTTTTAAGGTATGTAGAATTGATCCATTTTGGGTTAGTTCCAGTATGTGTGATCACTGGGATCGAACCAAAGCAGATGGTTCAAGTTTTTAGTTTCCCACTATCGTTAAGTGGCCTGAGCTATCTGCTTAAGCCACTTAATGATACTGGGAAATTGAAAGCATCCCTTGTATGGGGGGAGAGGAAGCAAAGGTGGTGGGGATGGTGTTTATTTATTTATTTTTAAGCCTAGTAGGGCAGTGCAGATGTGCGATGCCTTTCAGGATCTTTTTTAAATTCAGAGCTTCCTCCCAGAAGCAGGAAGGGACAAGGATGGAGATATGTGTTTGCCTGCTTGTTTTTTTTTCTTTCCCTTTAAAGGAGGTGGTCCAAATAGGGTTGCTTGAGGTATGGTGTGGTGACCTGACCCAAAACCACCCAGTCCTTGCATGGATTACACCAAATGGCACACCAGACCTCTATGCAACTTTAAGCAAGCCTATTTAGTCCAATCCACCCTGATCCAATATGGGCATCTATTCAAGTCCTGAATTTAGGGCAGGACACTGGTTCAGAGGATACAGTCACACTGGATCCTTGAAAGTGGAACGGCCATGGCTGTTGCCGAAAGGAATCCACAAATCATAGGTGATGGTCTTGTGTGTATTTTACTAGACATTCTTTGTTTGTTCTCCAGACTGCTAAGATTCGCAAAATAACTTGCTTGGGAATCATAACAGTAAATTTTGAACCCATTTTATTTTGTAATACAGTAGGAATCCTGTATCCACGAGGGATGAGTTCCAAGCTGCCACCTGCTGCCGCCATCCCAATGCTGAAAAATGTAAATTCTAGTGAACAAGTTGATGTCTCCCCACCTTGGCAGAGTGAGACATGTATGGCGAATGCTATACATGGCATGGTCTCTGGCTCCGTATGGCGAATGCTCTACATGGCATGGTCTCTGGCTCACTCTAGTGACCAGTTCTAGTAACTTCATCATTAAAAATATATATTGGGGAGGGGATTTTACTTTTAATATTTTTCAGACTGTGGATAAGTGAATCAGTGGATACAGTTAAGGAGTCCTACTATACTGTACTAGATCCAGCATATTTTTAAAAACTGTGTGAATAATAATAATAATAATAATAATAATGTACTGCACTAGATCCAGCATATTTTTAAAAATTGTTTGAATAATAATAATAATAACCTTTGAACTGCAAAGCGGAAGGGACACTTTGGATCATCACGTACAACTTCTCTCAAGGAGGCCCAGTGGGGAATTGAACTGCCAACCTCTGGCTCTACATCCAGAGACCTAAACAACTGAGCTATCCAGCAGCTCTAATAGACTGATTTCCTAATTTCGGGAGAACATTGGTCTAGGTTACATTCTGCAAAAGGGGCAATATAGTCACCTCTTGATTCCCCCATCCACTCTGTCCTGCGGTCTCATAGTTCCTTCCTGGGAGATGGAAACAGGCATAGGCATCCTATCCACCATGAGTTGCCAGAAGGGATAATATGGCCCCTTCCAGATGTTTTAAATTCCCATTGCTCCCAGCCAGGGATCAGAAAAAGTTTCCTTTTTAGACCACAAGTGCCAGCATCTCCCAGCCTGCTTACCCTGATCTAGGCCAATCTGCCCCCCCCCCACTTAACAGTTTGGAATGCAAGGGGGATCTTGATCCTTGCTGTATCTGCCACGTTGTCCACCACCAGGTTGCAAGCTTTCTGGGATGGGACCGTAGCTGCCATCATATCTGCCTCTGGGGCCTGATTCCGCAGACTCCCCACCATAGGCTGAAGGGTACTGACGACCACCACCTCCGTACGGAACTGCATATGGTCCATTGGGATTATACTGAGGGGACCTCTTTGGTAACGGGATGTAGCCACCACCCAGCTCCTGAGGAGATGGGATATAGGGGATACCCGGGTTCTTCCATTCTACCCGAGGGGGGTTAACCCTGATGCCGTAACCAGTATTTGACCCATCGTAGGGGCCGCCACCATATTGGTCAGCCCCATACGGAACAGAACTTCCTGGTCGGCCATATTGTACGGGGCCAGGACCATACTGAGGCCTGCTCCCATATGGGCCAGGGTCTTTAGGTCTTCCATACTGAACAGGCCGCCCCCCATATACAGCCTCCTCTGGTTTGCCGTGTTGTCCTGGCCTGCCTGGTTTTCCATACTGGAATGCACTGTCCCCTTGTGAAGTGGGGCGGTCTGTCGGAGAACTGCCTCCGGACGTTGCGGGACTGCCCCCCACAATGCGGCTGTCCCCCCCGTCGACGGAATCTTCTCCCTGGCCAGGTGGAGAGACATCGGGCTGGAGCAGCCCTCTGGGCAAAGAACACCGCTGGACACCAGGAGGCAGCGGCTGCAGGTCTTGCCCAAGGACCACATCGATGCATCTGGAAGATGATCCTAGAAAGTGGAACAGAAAACCACAGTTTGAGAAAAATCACAAGGTACAGCTGTTCTGGGGCTGGCCGTGAACCAAGACCTGTCGTAGAATCTCCAGCGCTTGGAGGTTGTATTTTGGACAACTTTCTTTCTTTAAAATATTTTTTTATCTCATATTCTCCTTTAAAAAAAAAACAAGGCAGCTTACATTATTAAAAAGACAATATTTAAAAGCTGAAAACAGTAAGTATGCAAATGTTTTAAAAAGAATTAAGTAATATATTAAAATGGTAAGGGAGGGAGTTCCAGAGTCTGGGTGCAGTGACAGAGAAGGTTGTCTCCCATATCCCCAACAAGCACACCTGTGAGGGTTGTGGGACTGAGAGAAAGGCCTCCCCATATGATCTTAATGCCTGGGCAGGCTCATAATGGGAGATGTGGTCTCTGAGACAGCTTGGACTCGAGCCATTTAGGGCTTTGTAGGTTAAAACCATCATTTTGAATTGTGCCTGCGTAAGATCAATGTTAAAACCCCACCCAGGCAGCCAGTCGTTAAGGAAAAGCATGCCTGAAGACAAAGGCCTTGGAAGGACAGCAAAGATGGGGCCACTCTTGCTTCCTGTGGGAGGGAGTTCCAGAGTCTGGGTGCAGTGACAGAGAAGGTCCTCTCCCATATCCCCAACAAGCACACCTGTGAGGGTTGTGGGACTGAGAGAAAGGCCTCCCCATATGATCTTAATGCCTGGGCAGGCTCATAATGGGAGATGTGGTCTCTGAGACAGCTTGGACTCGAGCCATTTAGGGCGAGATGTGGTCTTTGAGACAGCTTGGACTCAAGCCATTTAGGCCTTTGTAGGTTAAAACCAGCATTTTGAATTGTGCCTGGATATGGATCCACAGCGCCAGTGGAGCTGCTGTAACGGGGAGGTCACATGATGCTCTGTAACCAGCCCCAGTCAACTTTTCAGTGAGTGTTAGTCTGTTTCGGCAAAACAAAGTTCCTTAAAAGTAACTGTTGAAAGTAACTATTAGCCTGTTTCAGCAAAACAAAATTCCTTAAAAGTAACTGTTGAAAGTAACTAGAGAATGTTAATTACTTCACCTGATGTTGTAACTGCTTGCCGCATTACTTTTACTGTAGCTTTATCCCTCTATTACTATCTCCATGCAAGAACATCGCTATTTGTTACATTACCTGTTACCGAATAGGAATAGGTTACTGTTTGTAACCACTTTATTCCACATTCTGCACATAAGGGCTGCTTGCTGAGAGGAAAGGAGAGGCTGAGTGGAGCAGACTGCATGCCAGAAGCCATCATCGGTGGCACAGAAGCCAACAGGTGGGGAGAACATGTACCAAACGCAGTCACAGTATAACTGATGCAAACTGCGGAGAGTATGCAGGTTGTCCACTTTTGTTCACACAGGTGGTGCGACAGGACTGAGATTTTGTTTATTCTATCACAAGAAGAACCACATTCAGTGAAGCCACATGAGAATATTACAGGGTTTTATCTTCCATTGGCTGATGGAAGCAACTTTGAGAAATAAATGTGAGGGGTGGTGTCCCATTTGAGAGAGATGAGTCCTCAGTCTGAAGGGTGGCCAGAGGACAAGCCTGTCTCTGAAGATGTCCTCTGAACGACTCCCCCAGTCCAAGTCTAGTTTAGCGACAATGACTATCGCCCCCAGTACTGGCACAGCAGACTTAAGACTGCCCGGCTGCCTATGGCTTTCCTGTGCCATGGTGAGAGGCGCTGTATTTCTATTGACTTCTATTATTTTGTTAATTTAATTTTAAATATTTTTATCCCACTTTTCTCCTGAAAAAGTGGCATTGCGGTTGTTATTATTTAATTTAAATTATTGTAACTCTTTCTCAGTTTGTGCCGAAACACTTAATATAAGCTCACTGATTGCATTTGTCCTCTTTTTGGCCGATGTGGAAGCGGACCCCCAGCTCAAAATGTGAAAGAAAGGACCCTACTTGGGGGGGAGATGAACCTAAGCAAGTCTCTGAGTAGAAGGAGGAACCCATTCTCCTAGCCCCCTTCCCCTGTCGGCTCTTAGGTCATTTTTTACAGCAGCAAATGAAATATTGGAGACTCTGCAGTCCCACTGAGAACAGGGCTGAAGTTGGCTAAATAACAAAGGGGGAGGGGGGAAACCTCAGGGTATCACAGTCGCCAAGTGAAGTGAAACGCCTCAGAAAAGTCTTTTGCAGGGGACATAGTTCCCAGAATCCTTCAGCCAACATGGTGGCTGAAGGATTCTGGGAAAATTAGTCCCAAAAAGAGACTTTTCCAGGCCCTGCTAAGAGTGGGATTCTTGCTGCCTCTCACCCATTGCTAATTTGTAAGGAGAGCGGAAAGGGTTTTTCGCCTCAAGATTTCGAACTGAGGCACCACCTCTGACTATGTTCACCCTGCTCTAACTGAAATAAGAAACAAATGCCACCCTGGGTTCTCTTGACCATTTGCAAAAGTAAAGTGAACCCAGGGGAGGAAAAAAAACAAGAACAACCTGAGATATTTCCTGGAGATGCCTAAGACTGAAGCTAGGCTACACCCTGTCGCTGAGGGTTAAACTACACATTACAAATTATGTATTACAGATAGCATGTCATTAGATGAGGCAGAGATGAGAGGCCTTGTGGTTCTGGGCTGTTTCTCCCCAAGGGATGCTAGGAGCTACCATTCAAAACAAGCAAAGTTTCTGAACTCGGAGAAGATGAATAGGCATTCATTGTAAACAGCACAAGAGGTTCACAGCTGCTGGGGTTAACAAATACAGCTTGCTTTGTTTTTGGATTGCTCACTGGGAGGTAGGCACAAGAATTCTTTGCGAGTAGGGTTGCTCAAGCACAGATGCCAGCCCGAATCTCATCTCAGGGACACGAGATTTTGGCTTCTTCTGAAGTACCATCTAAAACCTATGGATTAACTTTAGCTGTGATGCCAAACATGGATCATGCCTCGAGTACTGAGTGGGGTACTGAGATGGCAAGGTCTTTTGCAAACGGACAGTTGTAGTCTAGTGAGTACTAAGTAACAGGAGTAATACTAACAACAGTACAAGAGCAGCATCATTCTGAACCTCAAACACTCCCATCCCGCAGTGTCACAATCGCTAATAATCCCCTTTGTTCTCCTGCTTCAGCCACACCCGATGCTGAGCTCAATACTCGATACTACTTCTCATTCCCAAGCTCTGAGTAGGCTTGGAACAGGACCCAGGAATTCTGACTCTCGGCAATAAAATATTTTCCAACCGCCAAATACCAAAACAAAGCAGGCTCCCATCGCCAGGCCCTGCCTCTTCTGCACCATTTGCCCAAGGCAAAAAGACAGGTGTGGCAAACCCAGACCTACTGGGTAAGGCAAAAAGACAGGTAAGAAGTATCAGGTCCCAGATGCTTAGCAGTGGCAGCAACAGCTATAGGAGCAAATGGGGGAGAAGGGAAAGAACGAGAGAACTGGGAGAAAAGGAGGAAGAAAAGATCTAGCTGTATCAGGAATTTACTCATCGTCCTTTGCATTAGCTCTCAAGTTGCTAGTTCTCTCCACCTTTTGATCCCATCTAGTTCTTCCCTCCTCCTCTTCTTCCTTCCCTTCCCGTCTGTACTAGACTAGTGCAGAAGAGGATTATAGTTTGTTCGATTATTATTAAACTCCTTTGTAAACCACTCAAGGAGCTGTTAGTTCTGCACACAAGCAAATACTGGATCATTTAATCTCCTATCCCTAACTCCAGGTCTGCATGCTTTGTGCTATGTTTCTTAATCCAGAACAAGGTTCAGAGACCTTGGGTCCTCCAGATACTTCAGCCTACATCTCCCATAACTCTGTGGTTTAGGTATCTGGCTGCAGAGCCAGAATTGGGGGGTTTGATTTCTCCTGTAAGCAGAGCCAGCCTGTGTGGCCTTGGGCAAGCTGCACAGTCCCGGGGTTCCCCCCCAGAAGATGGGAATGGTAAATCACTTCTGAGTACTCCCTACTAGAGATGTGCACGACCAGGGTTTTCTGGGTAGAGAAGTAGAGATGATTTGACGGTTCGTGCCAGTTCATTTTTCAGCCGAACACGTGTTTGGCGCTTCCCAGCCACGCCTCCTCTGGGCAGCCATTCAGAGGTCAGCACCCAGAGGAGGAGGCGCAGGGAAGCTAAGGCGCTGTCTCTGAGCGGGTCTGCTGAGGACGGTGAGGATGGGAAATGGTGAACAGCTTTTTGGACTATATATATGGCATGGCATGTCCATCTCTACCCAGAAAACCCTAGAAAGGGTCACCATAAGGCAGAATTGACTTGACAGCACATGATTATTACAACTCTCATCAGCCCCACTCAATATAGCCATGGTAAAGCATTATGGACATTGTAGTTTAAAGCACTTGGAAAGCCAATGACTTCCCACCCCTGACCTAGATCGACTTCCATCTCTCAGTCAGAGTTTGGAAATAATGAATTACAAGCAGTCACCTGTAATTAGTCGCCTTGTATTATGATGAGGATGTAATGAAGCTTCATTTCAAAGGTAACATAATGAGTGTGAACAGCAGTGTTTTATTTACTTTACCTTACTTTACTTTACTTTATTTGATTTTTACCCTGCCCCCTAGACTAGGCCTACTCGGGGTGGCTTACATACATAAAAACATAACAAACAACATCTTTAAAACATTTAAAACATCAAAAAAAATTGTTTTATCAACGTTAACAAATAACGTTTACTGGTTGGTCTTAAAAGTTACTTTGAACATTTTAAGAGACATTTTGGTGAGAATTCCGGGTTTTACACCATTCTCTCTGAAGTCTAATGTTTTTGTTTTTGTGTTTTGAGTTATGAAAAGTAATAGAAAAGTAACAAATAATGCAATTAAATACTTTTTCCAAACATTA